GTCTTTATCTTCACTTTTGCCTTTTTTTACCTTCCTTTTATTAACTCGGGATGTAACTATGTAATATTGATGCGCCTAAAAGATGCAGCGATTTATATTCCCAAGTTACATACCGGATGACAGTACGAATGGCAATTATAATAGGGAGGTTTTAGTTTTTAAACTATATTATTTACTTTATCATTATAATTTATTTCTTCATCTTCCTATTTATCTTTATTTCAAAGCTTAATTTCAAATACGAAGTGAAGCAACATACGAAACAAGTCAAATGGAACATGTTGCAGCAACATATATACAAATACGGAAATGTTTAAACGACGGCTGTGGCCGTAATTTTCAATCAATTTTGAAACCATAAAAACTCTGCTCATCTACAGAAAAATGTCTTTCCAATGGTGTTCTTGGTTTGAAAATCGGTTCGGTAGAATCACCAAACGAACGGAGACAAAATTCATGTTAGCGTATTAATATATAGATGCCTAGATAAGTACATACTTATTTATATTAAATTGAAATCAGAGAATGTCTTAAAAGGTTAAAATTAATTAAAATTTTTATAAACCAGCGTACATATGTATGTATTTAGGTATTTAGATTTTCTTAAAAATCGGTATGTACATACATGCATATTTAATTAAGCTTAAAATTGTACTTCCTCACTCTTGTACTTCACTTCATTGACTGACTTCAACTTCGCTGCAAATTGAACAAAGCAAAACATGATTTTTATGCGAGACAAATTTCCACAGAAAGTAACGGTAGAAAAAGAATTTTTGGATATTCATTCCATTTTTTTTTTCCCCCCCGAAATGAAGCAAAGAAGCGAAACAAATAAAATATTGTAGGACATTCTACTTTGCATTCCCGGAAATGAAGCAAAGAAACGAATTAAAAAGGAAATATTACAGGACATTCTACTTTGCATTCCCCGAAATGAAACAAAGAAGCGAAATAAATAAAATATTGTAGGACATCATACTTTGCAATACTAGCAATGCCTAAAAGAAGCGAAAAAATTCGAAGGCATTATAACGCTATGCCTTCTAGAACACGTTACCACTAAAAGCGATTACCGATTTTTGCTCGGTAAGAAACTATGTACCAACTTTGGAAAACATTGTATTAGCAAAGCACACTTGTTTGATAATATAAAGCAGCTTCAAAAATTACTTCCAAAAATGGTAATGTCACAGTCTGCTGTTCAAACGTTCATAACTCCTAAACAACAGAAGTTACAATATATTTAAGTATGTATTAAATAATGCCACATACTTATGCTTTAAGATGCAAGAAAAAAAATATCAAAAAATTGTATTCTAGCGAGTTTCAGCGGTTTTTGAAAAGCAGTTTCAGCCAAAATGTAATGTAACAGTCCGCGTTTTGGGCCATATGTGGATAATTTAGCAGGTCAATTGTTCTCCAGCTTTGGATGAAATGGAGAAAGATTTTCTCTGTACTCGTTAATGTGTTGCCGAACCAGTGTTGCCAAACATGGGCTTTTCCTACCAAAACTGGTAGGTTTTATTCCATTTGGTAGGTTGGTAGGCTCGATTGGATTTTGGTAGGTTTCGGGACAATGAGTAATAGTTATTTGCGAAAAATGGAAAATATACACGTATCTCCAAATATTTTAGCAACCTTTTTTACACAAATATTTCACCGGTGCGTTCGTATAATGGCGGCCACAAATATGTAAATATACCTGATTCCTAAGTACAAACGTATACCTTATTATTGCCAATATGCAATACGGACATCCATATATCGTGACCTAAGAGTGAAAAGGTGCCAAGTCCATTTTTAGAAATTTTTCACGAGAGACGAAAAATCGATGTGGTTTCGTATTACCTGTCATTCTGAATCAAAAACTAAACTTTGAAAAAAAAAATGGACTTGGCACCTTTTCACCTTTAGGTAGCGATATAATATATTATACTCAACCATATTTCAGGCGGAAGTCTTTCAAATCGAAGTCTGTGTTCGCGAATGTCATCGTAGAAGGCAAATGAGGGCAGAATAAATATTATGTCGGACATTCAGGCAGCGCTAAAGGCCTTAGAGCCTTTTAAAACGGCATCAAGGCTTGTAAACTCTTGAACCACCTGCGAGCCCCCAATAGCGTCACGCATGAAGGGTTTGAAGGCAACGAAAGGGCTGACTGTCTCGCAAAGCGTGAAGCCCAAATGCGTTTGCATGGTCCTTAGCCTTTCTGCGGTACATCTAAAGAATACACTGCAGACCTACTTAGGAGCTAGCTGGGAATAATCTCAAATTGCTGCCTACTGGCGGAAGTCAAAGGGAATAAGACAATCAAAGATATGCATAACTCGTTCCAGCAGGAACTCCGAAAGACACCTTGAACTTAGAACTCTTACTGGCAACCTGACAGCACACTGCAAGTTAACGTACGGTTTTAATTAAATGGGTCTTTCTGTAGAGACGGACGGTAGGGTTTGTCGGCTGGGGAAAGAAACCCCAGAGTATATTCTATGTGCCTGTCCACGAAGCATGAATCGTACATTGATACACCTTGGAGAACGATTGCCTTCTCCATTTAAAATTTGGAACATGGCCTTATCCAAAGTGCTGAGCTTTTTAAATAGCCTAAGGTTACAATTTTGATTTAGCACAATATATCTTCTTACGTCGCAGCGCGGGTATCTTCGATGTAATAATAATAATATCGTCACTAGACTCGAATAAAGAGCTCGGAAAAACTCATTGCGAGTTCTGGGGAATACTGTTGCACTCGAAAATATAGTTGACCGCGGACATAAGTTTATAGGTAAGAAAAAAAAATTGTCTGTGGCAACGCTGTGCAAAACCAAATTTAAAACAAAACCTACGAGCATTAAGGATAGACTCGTAAAAAGTTTATATTAAAGGCAATCCCGAATGAAGATATATGTATTAGGCTGGGTCGATTTTGTATGGGGGAAAATAAAAGGAATTTGATCGTATTGTAATAGTAATATTATGATGTCTTAGATCTAAGCCAATTGTTATTGGCCACGAAAGATTAATTTAAAACTTATATTTAGCCCGAGCAATTGAATCAAAGTCTTTGAATTTCGAAAATGAAACTTTGGCTTGTAATATCTATGGAATGCGTTAATTGTTATAAACAGGATGATATATCAAATTAAGGGCTATTAAATTTACTACCTCACGTCCATTTATCATTTTTCAATAAGTCTACAAGTTTTTAAAATATTAAGATAAAACTTAAAAAAGTATAATTTTCCCTTATGAATTTTCAATTCTTCATTACTTGAGCAACCAAGTAAAAAATACGAAAAAGTGACACGACATTTATTTCAAACGTTTCAAAGTTTTCGGATGTTTATATAATCTTAAAAGGACCATGGACCTGGTCACGCAGATTTGGTCAGTTTTCAAGATTGTCCTGAATGTAGTCAAACATTTATTGTCCAAGGTTAGAAATCGGTTGATAAGTTAATAGTAGTTTCAAGCACATTAGTATTTACATACATTAACATAATACAATTAGGGTAAGAAATTCCCATTTTAAGTCCATTTATGCCGTCTTGAAATGCATAAGCGGAATGGTTTCATTAGTCCCCGAAGAAGCACATTTTTGCGGTTTCTAAATTTGCCGTTAAATGCAAGTAGGGGACGTGCAATAAGTGTTTAGATATAAATATTTTAGTTAATTCCATTATGTGAAAAAGTGAGTGTAGGTAAATACCATAATTCTTAACATATCCCGGGAAATCCTTTTGGGGACTCTCCAATTGGACGATATTGCATTGCATTCAGCTTGAACGAAAAAAGTCACCCCTTGGCACACTTTTCTGTAATCCGGTTCTTACAAGTTATTTATACAAATGAAGAGATTTTTTTTAGAAAAAAACTGGAGATCCACTTAAGTTTTTCGATATAACTTTGGTAAATATTACTCGATCAGTACGTAATAATTACCAAATTGAAGGCGAGACTTATCGTTACTGATTTATGGTAATAATATGATGAAAATCGTTCAGATTATAAACAAATTATTTTAAAATAAAAAAATTTTAAACAAATTTTTTTGTCATTTTCCTATATTTGCAATTTTTATATTGTATGCATAAACATAAGTGAACTAATTAGTGTTTCTAGAAGTTGTGCCTTTTTAGTGTTTCCATACTCATTAGCATAAACAAAATTTTCCCACGATGATGGAAAATAATGGCTTTTCTATTCGAGCTACCGAAATTGTTCCTAAATTTGCAGAAATTCGCAAACTATAGCTAATATTAAAAAAAGATTAGACTATTTGGAACCAGCGACCTAAATGCACGCGAGCAATATTAATGATGTTCTTTATATCTTGTGACTATAGGCCAGTGGAATTATCAAGAGAACAATTCAAACTTTATTGAAAAAATATAAATTTGAGATTAACGATAAGCTAAAGTTCTGCGAGAAATGATATTTGACTTTATCTTTTGCGTTAACGGATTCATTATCTAGTAATATGCACCAAACCTTTTTGCTGAACCAGAATTTTCAACAAAAATTGATCTTACTCTACTAGTGTGCTGTGGGTCACTTGGCAGTCGATGCGCGGGCTCTTACAATTAAAATAAAAGACTAATATTTTGCAGGCTTGTTGTTGATTTCATGATACAATATATTTTCGCTATTACCAAGGGATTTGAGAAAAATTTGACTTTCGACCCGCCCTAATATGTATGTATGTATTTACTTGCTATTTGTGTAGTTTCAAAAATAGTCGGAAATCCTTTTTAATAAATTGTTTCCCGTTAAGTTTGTCCTAACTCCACAAAAATATAAACTGCGCAGTGTCCACGGTCGTTCCTCGGTTAGGCTACAAAAAATGTTACGTAACATATACATAGCTCCAACAACTGGAAAAAACTGATATCGTGGGAATAGAAATATTAACCGAGTGAGACGTTCAACCAAAGGAAGTCATGAAATCTTGCAGAGAAAACATAACAAATGTCAACATCACTTAAGTATCAACTCACCTGATTTGTCATGGCCACGAATATTGAACACAAAAATAAATATGAAATCCAGCCAAAATCTTGTTGAATGTCTTGATGTGATTTAGTATTAAAGCTGTATGCTAAAAATCCCAATATGGGTATGCTAACCATGAAGTTATCGCCATTGGTTTCGATGAAATCATGTCGTGTTATAGATGTTGGATCCAGATGATGTTCACGAAAAGGCCGCAAAAAGTTCTATGGTAAAGGAAGCAAAATCAGCACATATAAACACAAAAACGAGGGCGACATCGTATCGAATTCGAGACGAACTCGAGAAAACGAATTTCTCGAATATATTTATTGAGTTGAAATTTCAAGTGGCTAACGATTCGAAACATCAACAATTTTCGAAACGCCAACGATTCGAAAAAAAATTCTCGAATCACCCACAAGTCGAAAAATAATAGGGAATTTACATGAGGCGATTTTTCAGGCGATTTTTAGTTGAATGCAACAATCGCCTAGTGTAAATGGCCTTTCAACTTATCGCTTCCAATGAAGTTGGTCGGCTGCCTACTTTCGTTCAACTTTTGGTTCAACTAATCGCCTATGAAAGTTGAATCATGTAAATTCCCTATTAGTAATACTAGTTTCGCTAATGATAGATGACTCTCCTACGAATTCGAATTCGCCGATCTATTGTCGCGAAGTATAGTCTCGATGGTTCTATCAGAAAAAACGAGCTCGTCTCGAATTCGAAGCAAACTCGTTGTTTTTATTGGCTATGTATGTATATATGTCATTAGCGCACACAAGGGGTGGGTTTTGGGGTTTAAAGCCCTCCTAAAGCTAATAACGTCAAATGCAAACTGTATCTTAAAGCTTAGAATCCAGCTCTCAAGAGAAATCACAAAAAATATTTTATTTCTATTTATTATTTCTGTTGTTTGAAAAAGCGCTTTGCTTTTGCTATAAAATTTCTTGAAGAAATAAACATACGAGCATTTTTTTAGAGCTGCAAAATAAGTCGAATTTATATAAGATAGGTTTGCTATAACAGCAGATTTGATTCGCCTCGGTACCCATGTGCCAAAATTTCTTATGAGTGGGTGAAAAAGTGAATGTTGAAATTTTCTTTCCCTCTTCTTCCTTGCGCGAATCAATGCTGAGATTTGACATTTGTGTACCGAAAGTAAAAACAAAATACACGTGAGTCTTTGTTTTTGTACTACCGCTACCACGTTATATGAATAGGGACACGAATTTCGATACAATACGATACCATATCGATACTTTTTGCATTCGATACCGATATTTTATACTCGATAGTTTTAAAACGATATTTTTTGGAATCGATTACGGTGACAGGTAATAAGGTCAATGGAAATAAGGTCAATTGACTTTATTTCCCACCCTGGTGCGAAATAAAGTCAATTGACATTATTACCTTTTCAAAAGCGAAATAAAGTCAACAAAAATTTGGAAATAA